TTTCGGTGCCTTTTGTATTTCTATCCGCCACCATCCCCTTTTTATTAGCCAAAAGTGTAGACAATATATAAGCTAAATTAAACGCATTTCTTCCTTCCTGCCCTAAAAAAATCTTTCCCTTCCTTGGATATTTTATTATCTGGGTTTATGTCTGAAAGACTCAAGATCTGCAAACAGCATAATTATTTGAGGTTAATTCTATGATTTGCATTTAATAGCAGAGGATAATTTTCCTGCATCACACGACTGCAGAGAGTCTCAAATTCAGTAATACTCAGAATGGCATCTGTGGAATTTACACTTTAATTCTAAATTATATTTTAGTAACTAGTCATGGTGTATATAATTGTTTTAGGGTTTTTTTGTTTGGTGGGGTTTTTTAATCATTATTTTTACTATTTCATCAGGAAACACTGGAATCAGCTTAAGACAACATTGCTTCAGCTCTATGATATAAACAAAAACGTTTTACTCTCATAGTTTACAACTTAACTCTTTTATTTCAGCTTGGAATCATGTATATGGCAAGATTAAGGACATAATTAATTGAATGATTACTCAAGCATGTAAACAGTTTTGTGGGTTTCTGTTTTCTTTTTTCCCCTCAAGTTATTAAATCAGAGTGTCTCATTTAAAATAAACAGTGAGGATCTTTATGACACGAGCAACATAATAAAACTGTACAAAACTTTTGAATCACCTTAATGCCCCTAATTTATATTCTCTGCAGCCTCAGTGACATGAACTGACAAATTACACCCAACTTAGAGCTATTAGAACCACAGAAAAGTACTGGTAAGTGCAAAATCTCTAGTTAACAACAGAGAAATTCAAGTGCTTTTTGTAATGTCTTAATTTGAGTGCGTCAAAATAATTATAATCTTCAGAAAAATATTATTTTTTGCTCTGGTTTTATATTGTCCTTCACTATAGTGTGGGAGGCTCTAATAAGACCTACAAGTTATATCATTTGCTCAATATGGACTTCTTTAAGACTGAGGCATGCTGTGCACAAATATGACATCTGGAAGTTTTAGCAGCCAGTCTGAGAAGCTTCGCTGACTGGTATAGAATGATCTTCTGGACTCTTAAAACCTGGGTGGATTTTGCAGGAAACAATGACAAAAACCCCTCTCTCTGACAGGACAGTGAGAACCTTTTACAGCTTTCAGCACTGCTGAATAACAAGTAATGTTATGTAGAGGTAACTAGCACAAAACAAATCAGGTCAAGTTACTCCATTCCAATGCACTACCACTTTAAACACCCAATAACAAAGTAAAGCCCAGCAAATTTTACTTTGTGAAGTCTGACCTGAAAACTCCTCTCAGACTTTCACAGAGGCCATCTTTTACCAAAATTAGTTATGAACAGCAAAATCAAGCGGACAGAGAATTATGTAGTGCTCATACATTACAATATATTTTATCCTTTAGTTTATGAATTAATGGTATTTAAACTGATCATGTTTAAGGAGCGTAATTGTCTAAACACTACTCTCAACAATTTAAGTTACACCTACATTCATATACTTGTATTCCTCTAGGCAGTAACTGATAGAGAATAAGGAGAGAAAAGCTTTACATCCTTTTTGATGCACAATGGGGTAAATACTGCATCTGCATCTATTTGAGCTACATTTTACTGACATGTTTGGGTTTTTAAGTGTTGAAAAAATTACTTCTTTGAACATTTGTGCTAGGTAGTTACTTGCAGTAAGGTTTTAAAAGTCTTTAAGTGGTCAGCTTATTAACAGTGCCTGTCTAAACATGTTTGGTTCCAACAGTTTCAAAAGTCACGGTAAGTTCACTCAGAACACCTTTTTTTACGCTATTACTTCTTATCAATACAATGTTTTTGCAGTGCAATTGCTCAAAAATAACATGCAAAGGTCCGGAAAAATCAATTCCTAGTCCAAACACCTGGCACCTCCGCCTGAGTCTGAATGTCTCTATAGAAGTTGTGTATTAAAAGGTAGTAGAAAAAACATACATCTTTCAGTCCCAACTTTGTCCTCATTCTGTAATGTTACAAGAAAGCAAGCAGAAAACAAACAGCATAGATTTGCACAAGAAAAGGCTACTGGAGTTGGGACAGGACAGCCATTCCTGGTGCAAGAGGAAAGTTCGAGTGCGCTTTGTATTGCGGAGAGAGGGTTCAAGGAAAGTTCAGCAATTTATCCTTGAAATTTCTTTATGGGTTGTGACCACAAATGCCATGGGCCAAATTCAGCTGTAAGGAGGTGGAACTTCCTTTCAGCCAAAGCCAAGTTTGGATCCAAAGGACTCACAAGAGTTTTAGTGGCAAATCTGAAAGGCAGGTGTACTGCAGTTTCTACTATAGTCTCCTAATTCTCTTGCTGTGCTGATCTAGTGCAACGTGGGTTACGTCTACAACTGCAAGCTTAGATTATATGGGTCAACCGACTTTCTGAACAATCATTGTAAACTACTAAGTCTTTTTTATAGTCGTTAGGTTTCGAGAACTACTTGGCTAACCTTGCGTGGTAGATGCAAGATATCTGGACAAGATTCGTGTGAAGAAATATTAAAAACAGGAGAGAGGACTCATTGGAAAAGCTCGAGGAGGAAACAGAAATAATTTCTTAATAAAACCCAGCAAAGCAGACTGTACGACCCTTATTAGAAGAATAAAAATGACCATAAAGCTCCTCTTAAAATTTCTTCCAGGGAGGTTTGAAGGATAAAATCTTTAAAGCATGCATATATTTAAAAACATTATTTCACGCTGAAAACAAAGTTATGTATGTAACCTTAGAGGTTACATATTTCAGAGTATCACGTCAGTAAATGAAAAAGTTTGGTTAACAATGAACACTCGTTTTATCAAGAGATAAACAATCTTAAGAGCTATGAGAAAAAGGAATTTAAATCACAATTTAAAATACAATACTGAATGGGATTAACACTTGGACATTTTTTATAGGTATTTGTTTCAGATTTGACTATATTGAAGCCACAATAGGAATAAAATGAAACAGGCTGAGGATGATAAGTGGCCTCTGAGACAAAAAAAAAAATATTTATACTTTTATACCAACGGGGAAAAAAAGATGCAGAGGAGAATACTTCAGAAGACAATAGCTTCAAGATGGTTCAGTGTAAGTTTTGTACGAGTTCAAGAACTAACATAACAATATCCTCCTAACATCATTTTACTAGATTACAAACGTAAGGAGTCCACAAGAGCACACACTGCAATTATTTCAAAAAGCAAAGGCCATACAAAGCTGAAGCTCCAACCTACACGCTTATAAGATGACAGGTGACACAGATGCCCCTATTCCCACCATCTGCTAGTATTCTACCACAAGTTGTTGCTCCTCTTGGTTGGTCTTACCTCCTCCCTCAGACTGATACAATCACTTGTCTCGCTCTCTTTCACACCCACACTTTCTACTAGGCTTGAACAGCTAACCACATTGGCAGTTAGGAAAATCAGAACCACTTGCCTCAATCTTTGAGCAACTTTTACTTCTGTTTCTTCCTCGAAGCTCTTCTTTATTTTGGTGAGTATTGAATAATAATTAAAAAAACCACAAACCATGGTGATTCTTTACTATGACTTTATCCAAGGAGGTGAATGCTATAATAGGAAATAACTGCAAGTGCTATTACTTGCATTATGCCTTTGGAGAGAGTAACATAGCAGTAGTAGAAGTGGTTAAAGTAATCTTCTAACATTTAAAAGGCATTTACTCATGGGGCAAATGAAAGTCTGGGAAGTGGATGAACTGTCAGCATAATCTATTTTTAGTGCTTACTAAGAAAACCTTACACATTAGTATTCTCAAACAAGATCAGACCATAAATGCCTAAACACAGCATTAAATGAATAAAGCATTATAACAATTCATATGATTTTTATAACCCATCATCACCATGCATAAGTATGTATCAGTCCATTGACTTTATTAAAAGCAAGATTCTGGTCTCCCACATGCTGTTCTATTGGCATAAAAAGATCGTAGAGAAGCAGCAGATGGGGTGAATAAAAAGAGAAAAAAAAGTTCCTGTTGCAGGACAAACAACCACTGCAAATAACCACAGGCAACCCCCTCTGATGGGGGAAGTTGCCTGAAAGCGCACAGGATAGCTTTGCGATGCAGCACTAGCTCTCGGCGTTACTCTTACAGGTAAGACCAGATGCCAACTTATGCGTGAGGCAACTTTCATGGGGAAAGAGGCAATATCTTTTTCTACAGCATCCATTACCATTGGAAAAAGAAGGTATGCTTTCAGGGAAGCCCTGGACTGCTTAAAATATTGCTTTTTTCCACAGTTGTATCAGCACAGCTTACAAGTATTCAAGGACAGGCTGCCGCTTCAGTCACTGCAGTGGGAGTTTAGACATACAAAGGAGTTTGGGACACTTGTGCTCCCTATCCTCTTTTTTCCCCAGGCCATGCAGATTGTAACAACCCTCAGATGTCCTTCCCTCTTACAAGGTCAAACGTGAACAAAAGTTTCAAACTTACATTGCTTTGGTATCCTTTTCTTATGCCAACTAATTTACATTAGTTAGAGGAGTGTGATTTATATTGTCATTGCTCCTTTATTAACTACAAACATGTCATTTTCCATTGCTTGTATAAAATTTGCCTGTGATATTAGCACTGCCCAGACACAAAGAAAACACATTACAATGTAGTTCAGACCCTTGTCATGCATTCTTTCTTTATAAAATGTTAACTTTTTGAAACACTTATATTAACCAAATGTTGATGCTTACACATTTAAAGTCATGACCGCACCGTAGCACAGTTCATGGCTCAGAACTTAGGAAGTCACTGGAGTCCTAAAAATTCTGAGCAATCAATTCTATTGTTCAGTTACAGCTGTAAATTCTTAGCAGCCAAAAAGATAGCTATATTTTGCCTATTTCATACTACAAATTAATATTTTTAGCTCATCACTTACACTATCCCAACCCAGAAAAATAAAATTAAGTATTTACTATTGCTGCTACTTCTTCCTTACCTTCTCATATCCTCTTTTATGTGCAGATTGATCAGTTCTTTAGGAACATGGAAAGAGAGGGTGGTCTCAGCCATCTGTTCTCGGATCCGCATCCACTTGTTATCAGAAGTAGGGAATCTGTATAACTTACAGATCAGGTTTTTTAACACTGCAGAGAGGAAAAGATTATGCCATTGCTTTACTGTGGTTATATGACTCTTAGAAAATTTACGACAACAATTTCATTGAAAAATAATACGTTACTTCCCCCCTTGCTTCCAGAATTAATTTTAGAACCATTAAAATTCTATTAGAAACATTAAATTTTTATTTAATTTATTATAGCAGCATGTGGAGGACAAAGTATTACTAGTAGAGTAGATAAATCATATTTTACCTGCACAGTTGGTATCCTGTGAATTTAGCATTTAAGTGTAGTGAAAATGCAAATTATGCTCTCTATTCTTACACTTAAGACACAGTTAGGAAAAACAGAATGCACAAATAAACAATGAACCCACATACAGTCAACGCCATCGCTTACCATCTGCTAGAATCACTCACATCGCTAAAAAATTGCACGGGACAAGCGAAGCATGCCTCAGAGGTTAGCTATATCTGATGCCTCTTCTCCATGATACGCACACACAGAAGTCATTGATACAAATGGATGGTGTGCACCTACGTTAAAGGAAACTTGACCATTGACATGGTCAAGAGGACGCAATTCTAGGGTCAACTTGATCATCGACGTGGTCAAGAGTGCCACTACATAGAAATAAATATAACAATCCTGCAAATACGTTGTGCACACTGTTCTCGGATCACTATTGTAACTCGACATAGGCAAACCATGCTACTTGATGTCTTGGAAGGTTACACTTAAAACCCATCATGTTTTTTATCTCAAAGCTCTCACATGTTGGCTACGTTTCCATTCAGATCTTACAGTGATGCTCTATAATAAAGTTGCAAAATTTGTACTCTCTCCTTTCCTTCCTTTCCTCAACCACTCTACTCTTAACTAATTTTCCAAAAAGACCAAACGGGGGAAAAGCTGAGAAAGAAAAGTTTTGTTTGACTACTTTGATAAGCTTACTTGGAGACAAATGATTGTCATTTAACACACACACCCACTGCTTCCTAACTCAGAATGACTTTGGAAAGCCATCCAAATCTTCCAACAGTACCTTTCTATCAGCCTTCTGGAAAAGTCTGCCTTAAAGCAGGCTCCCATTGATCTGCCACTGAATGGTCTATAACTCAAAGGAATGCATTTCCCATGTGCACTGCGAGGAGATTGTTGCTGTCAAAATGACATCTACTAATAGAAATTTCAGCTTCACAACTCACTGCCACCATTATTGCTTATGTAGGCTGATTTATAGAGAATGAAAAAACACAGACCAAGTTATTGAAGATACACAAACCATCTTGTCTATCCAATCAAACTGGTTTTCAACAGAAGTCCTTTAGGAAAGGCCTAAAACAAGACCACAGATTCAAAGATATCTGTAATAAAACAGTAGTTGGCAGCTCCCACAAAAAGGAGTGTTGTAAATAATCATGTCTAAGTAATTGCATATGTATTGTTTTCTATTCCAATCACTCTATTGAGGTCTCTTTAATCATTAAGGTTTGGTGAGAAACTTAAAACCTTTCTAGAGTCATTTTGCCTTTAGTTATTAGTGATTTTACTTACAAAAACTAAATTCTGACTTACTGTTATGAAATAAGCCTAATAGATGTTTGAAAGCTATGGCACATGAATAGAAACAATTTTTCTTTACTACTAACACCCAAAATACCTCAAGGTTCAAGCATCTTTATACACATTTTACAGCTTGAGAATCCTCAGACTTAACTACTGTTCACTTAAAAATAAAAAGCATCTCCAAGTCCTGTGCCTATGATCAACTTACACTCAGTGTCTGGGATTTATTATATTACTTGATTAAAGTATGTTGTAATGCCTTCCTATCTTCCTCCTCTTTTGCTGACATTCTTCTCACTAATGAAATCGGTTTTGCCAATAATATTGACAGTCTCTGTCAAGCCACAAAGTAGATACACAGCACCAATCACCTTCCAATAACAAGAGAGGGAATGACAATCTTCAGATGTCAGGGAGAGCTCAAGAAACTAAGGGCTAATTCAGGTCTGCCATTAAACAGAAATCTGTCAAAACAGATGATAATTTGGGGGTTTGGGGCTGGTGGTGTTTTGTTTTGGGTTTGTGGGCTTGGTGTGTGGTGGTGTGTTTTTTGTCTGTTTGTTTGGGTTTTTTTGGTTTTGGTTTGGTTTTTTCTTGCATAGTGCCACCTGTTCACTAGGAATTAGGCTGATACTTTTTACCAGGATATTTAAAATTTTGATGCACAGACAGAGAAGGATCTTTTCTCTATTTTACCTTTTTATATCTACTTCCTAAGAAGTCATCAAAGCATGTTTTTCCAAGAACAGTCCTTACAATTGTACTCAGAATCTATTACATTCAAAAATTCACATTTGTCTGTGAGAACCTAATAGACATGTAGCTCCACAATCGCTTTCCACCCGTCTCCTCACTATGACCACCACCACCATGGGAAAAAAACAAAATCTAACAAAAAACCCCAAGAGGACTGCAGTATGAGACCAAGGGAGACTAGGAATGACTTTGAAAATGTGGATCCAAAGTTGTCACTTTTATCATTGCTACAACTATTAAACTAACTCTTTAGGTACTACCTCTCAGTCTGAATTTTCAGATGGGGATAGTTTCAAGCGTGTAGCAAGTTTTTAAAAGTGGCCAAAACATCTCTCCATGGGTTTATGAAGAAAATTACATTTACAAACTCAAAAAAGCCTGGGAATTTTGTTTATCCAAACAATTCCCATTTGCAGTCTTACTAAAGCTTGAGATGGTAAGAGCTGCACAATACTTTATGTTTTTCTTATAAACAGAACTACTGAAATCATGTGATTCCATAAAAATCTCACATGTATTTTCCTTTCCAATTACAACAATAATCACTTTCTAATTACAACAAGCTGTGTAAAAAAGAAATCCAGAAGGCATGTAAAACCATCCAAACATTAAGAACGGCTTTTATAAAAAGCAGTTATTAAAATGACCAAAAGTTTCATAAAGGCAATTCTTCCTGTATTTTAGACAGTGATCATGAAAGGCACTAAAAAAAAAATCCAGATGAACTGCAGTGGTTAAAAAGAGAAAAAACTGTTTTAAAAGCCTTTCCCTATAGCATGAAGCCTAAAAGCCAGTGCCATATATTTAACCATTCAAGTTTTGGGACATTCTCATTTTTAAATTTAAAGACCTCTGTGCTTTTATTCCATGCACTATCCTTCACACTTCTTCCCCTGCAAGTAAAGTAAAAAATTAATAAAAGATTGAATACTCTGTTTTCATTTTTGCTCCCCATCGAACATAGATCAAAGCATACCGCTGCCATATACTAATTTACTGCCAGTGTTTCTATTTATATCTTCCTTTGCAGCATAGGTGTATTATGCATATCATCTCAAGAAGAACAACTTTCTTAATTTTTGCTTAATTTCAACTACTTTTATTGTCTTTTTTTATTGTAAAATGCAATTTGCTTACATGCAAACAATTGGCAAACTCTCCAGTGTTATAAATAAATAACTGAATTTTGAGACATATAAATTCAGTCTCTTGGGGTATAAACGGAATAGTGATAAGCCTCTGTGAAATATGATACTCATTCCCACTCACTCAATAAGTGCCTCATAACTCACTTGAGGGCTGAATGTTCCTTATATTAAGATTTAAATTTCAGAAGAATGCCAACGCGCATGTACGCCTACAGGCTTAAAGATTCACGTAGGGGTATTTTTTCAGTTTGATAGTTTTGAAGGCCTGATAAACAACAGGAGACAAAGAACCAGGAATCTTTACAACAGTATACACATATACTACATACATACATATATGGAATATATACTGTACTGTAGATAGTTCTGTATGTAAACAGCAGGGAAAGTAGTGCAGGCAATGTTGATGTTATCAGGTTGCCTGTAATACACTTCTAACTCATTACTGATATTGTTCCTTTCTCTTCAGTCCTTGTTTCTGATTGCCTCTAATTTTGCCACATTGAAATTTGTCTGGCCTAAATTGATTATTTTCTGAAATTTTCAGTTAAGATGGTTCAGCTGCACAGAATTAGCCCAGAAATCTGCAATAGAAAGTTCTGTGCTTTATAAACTTGAATTCTGACAGTAAATCTTCTACAGAGATGTGCATTTCACCATGTCCATGGCATCCACCCAGATCTGACAACAACATAAGCCTTGGGAAAGAAATCTCAGTCCATCAAAACTCAAAACTTAAACCTCACACCTCATACATGCACCAAGGGTCTACCTTTACTGAAAATTCTTGCATCCTTCCCAGCTTCTAATACCAAAAAAACTGTGCATATGTCATTTCTACAGAGTGGATGAATACATTTTTGGGCAGAGCTACTATGTGGTACAGTAAGCTTAAGGGCAGCACTGGTTCCCATATGAGAAAGCCAGTCTCCAAGTGACACAGAGAGCATGTAAAGCCCAGTTATGGAGGCATGCTGGGGAACAAGTCCGACTGGTTGGGCAAAGAGGCTGAGAGTATAGAAGGAGAGCTAAATTTTTCGAAGAAAAGAAATTGGGAATTCAATAGAAAGAGTGGGACTGACAAAACCTGGAACTAGTGCCAGGTGTCAGCAGGGAAGCGGAGGCAATGTTGGAGTGCGAAGAGGAAGTCACAAGTACAGGAAACAGACTGAAGAGTAAGTATTTATTAGAACAAACTTCCTGTGACTGAAAACTCTTTCCAATATCCTGCGTGCTGGCATTTCTTGCATATGCATCTGCAGTTCTGCTCTTTCCCCTCAACTCTTTTAAAAAACAAAAAATGCCTCCACAGTAGTTTTATAAGCCCTAGCAATGTTGGGTGGAGTGGGGGTTTTGGTTTTATATTGTGCGTTTGTATGTGAGAACGATAAATGCTAAGCGCTGTCTAGATACACTGTAGAATCACGTGCAAATACTCCTGACAAAGAGATCTAGATTTCGTTACTCAGAAAGCTGACATCTGCCTTGGAAATTTCAACAGTTCCAACAAAATACATTGCCCAAACTACAGCATTTCCCCATCCAAAAAGAAAAAAAAAAGAAAAAAAAAATCAACAAAATCCCCCCAATCAAACCCACCCAACAGAGGCAGTAAATTGAAAGAAATCAGTTGTGCATCAGTAACATTTTCTCTGAACAGAAATGTCATTTCTTTAAGACCCACTTTATCTGGATGACATACAGAATCAGAATTAAAGAATGGCTTCACTGAGTTAGACCAAATCTTTCAACTGGCTCTGTATCTCGTCTCCAAGAACAGCCATAAATAGATACCTAGAGATGCAAGACACACTCTCTGCCTTCAGTTATTTTTAGTGCAGGAATTTATGGAAGCAAATGTAGTTCCTATGCATTTAGTAATTCTCAATGAATCTCTTTTCCACAAACATATCTAGTCTCACATTGAACTGATGAAAAGAAATGCCAGTTCTGAAGAAGAAATTTTTCCCTAATTCTGATCTAGTCTCAACAAATCACAGAAAAAAAAATACAGCATTCATGTATACATGGAAAGACTTTTTTTTTTGGAGGTTTCTAGTGCTTCCTTCAGACTGCAAAGCTAGTCTAATGAGTCTGTCCTATCAGTGAAGTCATATGAAAAAGTTTCAGTAAAGATTTTAAAACTTCAGTAACATTTCTCCTCAACTGTATGCAGCAAATACACAGAATTCCTGACAGCACTGTGGTTTCAGATGACCCATATAACTTATTTGTGACATTGTTACTGCAGAGTAATGGAGATTCATAAACTTGGGCTAATAAAACTTTTATGGTGCAGCATATCAGCATGTACTATTTCTCAGTATAATGAAAGAGAAATAGATCTAGTTCAACACTACACTCAAGCCCAGAGTTGACCTCGAATTGAGAATGCCTTGCCAACAGCTTCCTTCATTTTAGGACATACAGCTTCCAGATCAAACAGAAATTGCCACTTCATCAGCTATGAGAGAGATTAATTCTCCAGGGTATTCAGTTACAAATAATGCATAATTACTTTAACAGAATATTATGCTATGACATGATAAAAACTTATGAGGTTAATTCCATGCCCACTCAAGTCACTAAGAGTCTTGAAAATCATTGAACAGTAAAGATGCAGGAGTGGGAGATTTCAGCAGTGTTTCAGAAAGCATAATTGACATACATTTCTGAAAGTTTTCCTCATGTTTCTTAGTAAAATGATACTGTTAAATATGTATAAAACATTAAAATATTAAAATTTGTGCGTCATTTGAAGAGCCTTTTAAAAGGTCTGCCTCAAATCTTCGTGGTTTCTTCAGGATCTGACATAGCACTGCAACAGTCACCTTTTATGGATATTTGAATACTTACCTGCATTTAATGAAGGCAAGTTGTCTTTACCACTTATGCCTTCAGTGGTTGTACATTCACGAACCAAAGCACACTACAAAAGAAATGCAACCACAAATGTAACACATTCAGGTGGTACAAGGAAATTCATAGTAGTTTATAAATGGCAGACTGAATAACATTACTGATAATATAACTTCCCAACCTGTAATTATGATTTACATTTTTCTCTTTATATTTCTGTTTCAATATACTCTAACACAATCAGAATTATAGTAGAGAAAATGGCAAGATATGATCAGCTATTCCATAGTAAAACAGAAAGGTTTCTTACCACTACAATGGCAGAGGTTAAAAGAATCTTTGACAAGTTCTGTGCTTTCAGAGAGGTTTCTTTTGACAAGGCAGTTTTCACATGCACAGTGTCAGAAAGCACTCCATGAATTTTTAAACAAGGGAAAAGTAGGAACCACAAAAAGTCTTTAAAATGTGCTCATGGTTTGTGATTAAAGCCATTTGTTATACAAGCAAACTGGAAGACTTCTTTGATAAGATTAGTGTATAAAATAAAAGTATAAAAAGCTTATGGAAGAATCAACCAGTCTAAACCTGTATTAAATGTACTAAAAAGTACATTTTTAATGCTCCTCCTGCCCCCAGTCAGAAAAAAACCCCTCAGATAGCCTCTAAAGATGATAGGGAGCTCTGTTCCCAGGGCTTCCACAGTTTCTAGATGTTCTGTCACAGAGCTTGAAGCAAAGAGCAAGACATGATGTACTCTACCAACTGATATCTCAGATTGAATTTAACTATCACCTTACTCTTCCATGAGGGATTCCCTGCACATAGTTTATATCTAATGAGTTTGCAAACCTAATTCAGAACTTATTTCTTCGAAGTAATTCAATAACTTTACATTCTCACAATTGCATCCTCGCTGTGAACATATCAACCAAGACTCCATGATGCAACTAATCCATAAAAACCAAGGACTCTGTTAAAGGCCACAGAAAATACAGCTGTCACAAGGCTGGTCTTTCTTGACAAGTATTAGAACTCCCTAGAAAGATGCTATTAAAGCCTTCTGGCTCCCCCAGGCTAGATATAGCTCATCAATTACATCTCAAGTAATTATGAGAAGTGTCATTGCACATTTTGAAACGGAAGAAAAGCAAAATGAAAGAGAAGGCTGAAAAAACAGTTCATGTTGCATATCTTCTGGAAGTTTTATAGTACAAACCCAGAAAGATTTCACAGCGTTTGTTGGCTTCTTTGGAACTGGTCCCACAGGTCCATTGTTTTAAAAGGGCATTGAAGTCCTTTGAGAAGAATGGTGAAAAAAAGAAGTGTAAAATCTATCCTCAGAGTTTGGCTCAAGAGCAGACTATTTTGGTTGAGCAGAAAAGATAATCAGAACAATGCCTTTTTCTCCAAAAGTACATTCTTATATGTTACTTCCAAACGAAAAAATGCAGTCCTTCATTTTACATTCCCTGTAGCATTGTCTAAAATCAGGGTTTTTTTCATGAAGAACAGAATATACAATAGTGTATTAGTATAGTATTAGCATACAGACATAGTATTAGGCCTGCAAAAATTCTGTCAGGGAGAACGGGGCCGCAGAGGCAGAGATATCAGGAGGAGGTAACTCTGTCCAAGTATGTCAGTTGCCATCAGTCAGGGATCCAGCTACAGAGACCTTTTTCTCACCTGCAAATCATTCAAACCCTGATTTCCTCATTCTGCATAGTCATTTCTGACTCTCTCCCAAGCCCAAACCTCTTATCATAGAGACAGCCCATCCATTCCACCCTCCTTTCGTTCTCCATTCCTCCCCAAATCCACTGCCTCCATAGCATGTCCGTATCCAGTCTTTGCTGCTTTTGCCTGCAACAACCTGCCTACTTAAGAGCATTTTTGCTCTTTCTCTGTCCTTCCTCTTGTCCCATACCATAAGCACCCAACTCTGAATCCCTACATACACCCTCTGGCCAACACTGCCCTATGCCAGCACTCTGAGGCACCATTGCTACGCCATCCCTCCCATTGATTTTCCCCACCACTGTGTGCTCCCCTGAAATGCAGCTGAACCTGTCCCTTTGCAAGGGGATTCACCTCTTCTTTGGCTTGCCTGTCTGTCACTGTTTCCAGGTTTTCAATATTGTGGGCACAGGTTGCACATAAAAATCCACGTGAACCGGACTTCAAGGGCAGAAAACAGAGGAACTGTCCAAGGGAAAAAGAAGTCAGATTTGTGGCGTCTCTGTGGACAGTTTTTTGATCAGGAATGATTAAATATGGTCAGTTGAGGTCAAAATAAGCTCCTTTTTTTTTTTTTCTAAAGAAGGGGAGGGACTAGGAGACTGAGGATAGAATATTATTCTGTACGTTTTCATGAAAAAACTATTTTTAGTTTAGGGAGATTAAGCGTACATAGTACTTTATTCCAGAGTTTTTTTTTATTAAGTCTTTAACCCAATTTGGAATTAGTAATTTAGGCATTTGGTACAATTGATCATTCTAATTAACTTTATGCAATGAGCTGAGTTTCTACCTTTTGATCCTGGGTGTCTGTTGTGATGTGGTCCGTTTCCCCATCCTCTAGCTCTCCCATCTTCACAAGATTGACTTCAATGGTACCAACTGTCTTTCCACCATCCGAAGTCCTGGAAAAAAACCCCATGACATGGGGTTATCTGCAGCGTTGCATTCCTTTCAGTAAAAATATTGTCAGCAAACATTTAGTCCCCTCTCCATTCTGTATAGCTACAGTCACCTGTATTGAACTCATTATTGACTATCATAAACCAAATGTTAACACAATAAGACATGTTGTATTTTCTCCAAATTCTTCATAGTAATGAAAATTTTCATCACAAAACTGAGGATGGGTAAGTGCTGTAAATGACGGAAGAATCCACAAACATTGCCAAGTTTGCATTCCAGACATCATTCTGTTTGCGGACTGCCAGAGAAAAGGCTGTAACTTTGCACCAATACCTCACTTATGGCCTGCAATCTCACTGCACAGTACACTGCTTTGTTTCATAACATAACCTGTGGAGAAAGGACATGCTCAGCATATTAATAAACCTTCTGCTAAATCAAAATAATGAAACTAATCTGAATATCACTTTTCCTTTTGTAGTCCCTCTGCAGAGTAACTATTCAGAATCAGTCCCACTTCTTTAACTATATGGGAGAAAATAGTATAGTTCCAGGTGAATTCCTTTATTATCATCTCTGTAAATAGTTTACTTCCAATTAAACAAAAATAAACAGCAATTCAGATTTACATCTCCAAACAAAGAGTACTGTTCACCACCTTTTGGAAGAAACAAGGGTTTAAACTCCAAAAAGTTACTGAATGCTTTTTCAGCTTTCAATGGTAGCACAACACCAAGGTTAATGGCACAGTCTATCTCTCCTGGTTTATTCTGAACAGCTGTATTTTTTTGAAAGTAAAGACAGAAGGGTAACAGATCATTTAATAATAATGAGGAAAGTATAACAGCCACCAAGCAAAAATGGGCAAAAGGAAATGACAAGAATAAGTTTAGCAGAATTGCAAAAGCACAGAGAGGAAGAAGAATGAAAACAAATGGGTTTGGGCCAATACTGTGTGTAATCTCAGAAGTGAAGATGAAAAGTGATGAAGCAGAACAAAGGAATACACAGAAAAGGGACTATAGGGATGACAATAAAAAAAACCAAAAAGTAACTTTCAGAAATAGCAATATTAGAAAAGTGTCCATTAAAAACGTCCACATTCCTATGGCAATCCTCACTGCAGGAAAACACCAAAACCCCCTTCAAGAGAGACACCCCTCCAAACTTCAAAAAATAGTCCTCACGTTATATTAGTAAAGGAAGGAAAAATTCCCCAAACACCCTTCTCCTCATTTCACCAACCAGGAGAAAGACTGCAGTCCCAGCACTGGCCTGCTGGCACCTCCGCGCACACGGTGTGGTACTACGTGGAGGTACCAGGCCTGACTACGCAGAGGTACCGCCCCAGGCCCAGCACAGCTCTGCCAGCCAGTTCCCAGTACTACGTGGAAGCACCACCCCAGGCTCAGCTGGCCCAGTATGGCTCTTTGAGCCAATTCCCGCTGCCCCTCAGGCGCCGAGAGCCCCCGAGCTGCAGCACCGTGCAGACACACGTTCTCTCCCACTCTGAGGCAGGGCAGGCTCAGCTCAGCTTTGCTGCGCTGCCTTCTGCCATGCTCAGGCTTTCCCCAAGTGCCTACTCATGGCCCAGGCGGGAGGACCCTGTCTCTGCATTCAGCTCCCACAATTTTACACAATCTGTATTTCTGGATGCAGTATAAGGCCTTAATTAAAAGTCAGGGTATGCCAGGTCTTTACACTGACTAAAGTTGAACACATACGTTAGCCTTTTCAGGCATGGATACTTATTTACCACGTGAAATCAAAACTTTCATTTTTTACAGTAAAGTCTCAAAATATCGCTACCCCCAAGCTTCACATTTAAATATTTTGGTTGCAAACCATTATGCTTTAGTATGCGACTCAGTAGAAGACATTCGTATTGCAACTATACAAATTAAATATGTTCTTATATAACATCTTGCAAAATACACATCTATCTACATATTTTACATGTGTCACTCCTTCATTTGCTCTGGGCCAAATTCATTACTGACAATAAAGTAACAATTAAACCAATTCCAGATAGCCTTGCCACCAAAGAAGCCTACATTAATTATCAAAGCATACAAAAGTAATGAGGAAGAAGGGTTCAATGTCCAAAGGGTGTTTACGAGCAAATACATAATAATTTTGAAATGCACGAGAAAAACTTAAGTGCCTCCTGAATGAAGAACATTCCCCTGAGTTGCTACAGCTTAGTGGTTTGACTTCATTTGTTTTCTCCTTCCTGTGTCAAACCAGCACGCAAACTGGGGTACCTCAACACATGGACTACAGCATTTTCAAGGAGCAAGGGAATATCACAGATGTTAGCAAATCACATATACCTTTAAAAACCAGAGTAATTGTATGGCTACAAGATTGAAAATTTTTCAACAGCTTAACATGTCCCAATCAAAGTGTTAAGTGGATGACCTCATTACCAGGCTGACTTAAATATGCAACAGCACTTCGCTGTTATCCTGGCCTGAAAGGAAAACGTTGCATTCATTTGACTTCCAGAAGTAAAATCCTACCCATTCTTTTTTTAGAGAACACATTTTTCTAAGGCCACAGAGATCTGCAAGTCTAAGACTGACCTACATAAACCAGATCTAATTTAAAATCACATCAGGGTAAATGAAGAGTATAAACAAATGTTGAGCAAAACAGAGCTCACTTTGCAAATGAACTGACACAAGCCAACGAGGTATGTTGCTTGAGTAAAACTAAGTAAAAATGGAAATGCCAGTCACGCTTTCTCAGTCCTTGTCTCCCTTTCTTTAGAACGCTAAATATTGCTCCTCGTCGCTGTTATTAGAGGTTTGACCTCAGTACAGCAGTGAGCACTGCATTGCTTGCCTGCACAAGTAGCAGTATGTATTTGGAAGCTTTCATACACATTTAAAAAACATGATTGATCAAAACATGAAAACATAATTTCACTTAATATCAATTTTTCCAATTATTTTCTTCTCAAAATCACTCCTGTTTGGGTCTAATACATGTGTAATATCACAATCTGAATCATGCAGTATCTGCGAGAGAAGGTAAAACAATAGAATAGAACTAAACAGTGGGACTATTGCATTGTAGTTGTACTCCTTCCTCCATTTCTTTTATCTTTCCACATGGAAATTTGAAAACACAATTTAAAAAACAAAACCCCCAAAGTTTCTTTTGAATGCTATGGGCACACAAATCAGCAGAGAGCTCTATAAATGTCCAGGGAGAAATCGTCATTAGCTGTGTCAGACATTGTGAATTTAAAATACCATTGGTACATGAGAGTCTTCAGACAACAGACATGTCATGCATTTAAAACTTTCAAGCAACATCATGAGATTAAAATTTCGCTTGAAAGAAAATTAAAAGTGAGAAACAGAAGTGATACAGTGGAAAAAATAAAAAAGCCTAGTGATCACTTATATAAGATTAAAATCTATATTATTTTACTTTGCACTAACAGAAACACTATTGTGCACACACACATATATGTGTACACTTCATACCATTTGCCTGGACAGACAGGAAAAGACGATCTCACACACATATACACTGCACCACAGAGCATCAGAAGAATAATTAATTGGTTTTAGGATACTTCATAATTCATTAGGATAGAATCAGCTTATTTGCTGTAGTTTAATCAAGCTGAAAAGCGCACTCTGCACTAACACCGTGCAGTGAAGACTGTCCCTGCATCAAATTGCTTACAGTCACAAGACAAGAAATACTATAGACCCACAGGACAAAGGACTGCACCTTGATAAACCTGCACAGGGACAGTGGGGATGGAGAATACAGCAATAAGAATAAAAAAAGCATCAATGTGAAGAAGCCCATACATGGCTTAAACTCTAGCTGGCTTACGGAGTTGGAAAATTGCTGATTTTTTTTTTTAGCAGCCTGGGACAAGGAGCACCAATTCCCTGATATCTGTCTGCAGAGCATCTGCATTTGGAATATAACCAATGAAAAGGAAACAAAGTGTTAGAAGAGTGATTTCTAAACCAGATTTAGAATCTAGTGTCATAGGGTGCAGGCTTCGACAGCAAAGCTGCAATGTTTCTCTATCCCTAACCATTCAGTCCAACACGACTGCATGCGGCAGTGCTCACTCACCTACTGCAGCCATAATCCTGGGACAGCCTGCACTCACCTAAGCTGGAGTTATCAAGGACCCATCTTCTGAGGAACTTTGTAGAGGCGATTCTGAGTGAAACAGTATGTTTTGAACTTTTAAAAAAAAATAAATTTCTATCTGTGTTAAAAGCAACATTGTTGTTCTACTCATTGAGCCAAACCCAGAGGCTTTTGAAGCTGTGATAAAATCTGCTCAAGTTTAAAACCACAATTACTTACTAATGCTCCTAGTATTAAATCAAAGTTTATGATACGCATGGATTTCCTTACCATCCCAAGTCCTTAAGGATCACCAGGCCAGTATCAGTTCCCTCAACTGCGAGGGAAGGAGCGAGCCAGCACCATCGCAAGCAGCAGGAGTATGGGCCCACCTTAACACCATGATAAAAGGTTGACCCAGACATCCAGCAAAAAAGAAAGCAACAAGCTAGCGGTGGAAAAGCGAGTGAGCCAGATGGACTGAGAATAGCAGCCATTTGCCACCACTGCTGTTCTCATCAAGTCTCATTGCTGCATGTTGAATATGCAAATTTAGGCCTGCTAATTGGTTCCCATGGCCATACCGTTCTTCAAAAAAAAAAAAAAAGGGCTCAAGAACACAAAGAAAAAGAGAAGCAAACTGTGTATTTGCATAGCTATGTTAATTATAAATGACAAAGTGAGTGACTGCCTGAAAGGGAAATGGCATGACTTTCAGTCTAGCAGGCAGCCCCTTTCTTCAATGCCTCATACACAATAACTGCGAATAGTACAGACTAACATACAGATTGTCACAAAATTATTTTCTCCACTGATGCAATATATTTTGAAATATGCAAGCACAAAACTATTGTACTTGCATAGAAATGTTTATTCTCTGAATTCACAGTGAAGTCTATTGCAATCAATACTGTTTTTAAACAAGCCCACTGGTAAATAACATTCTGTTGCATTCTGAGGTAAATAAACAAAGTTTTGCACTGTTCAATTCCTTCTCAGTTTTCATGATTTCAATGTACTGTTGTTAAAGCTTTGTGTCAAAACAAGTTTCACCTCAACTGTATGGGAGATTTGCCTGGCTTATAAAGCCAAGCCACTGTTCAGCTGCTTCCTAGGGTGGATGACATGACATGAAGTAGCCAAGAAACAATTTCAGGATGGAGACCAAGTAAAACTAGTTGTAGGCAGACCTTTACTAAATTTTAATAGGGAAAAGCAGCTAAATATATTTTACTTTATAGACATCATTTGCTAAGGAACTTATATGTACAAAAAGGACTGCAAAAACGAGTGTGCTGCTTTCAAATTCTCTCTAGTTAGTTAAACATTGTGAATGTAACTACTACTGAAGTGCATTTACATGTCTTCTGGCCCACCGAACTACAAGGTGCTTGGAGGACAGCATTAAAAGGGAGGGAAGTTGCAGGGGGGCTTTCTTTAATGAAATCTTGGAGTTATTTTTTTTAACTTTTCAATAAACAACTATGGTTTATCTCATTTCTTTAAAGGAAATAGGTTCAATCCTGCCCAAGATTAATGCAAGTAAGACAGCTAAAAAAAAAAGCAGACTGATAGACAAATAGATATTGTCCAAGAGGCCAAGTACAGCCACATGTTTAAAGAAAGTCTGCATACTACTCAATTGACAGATATTCACAGGCACATTCTCTCGGATAATCTGTATAATTCATGCACTCCATCCTAGTTCTTGTTTCTGTATGGTTAGCTCCATCACTATGAAGTTCCTGCGTACAGTAGTCAAAGGATTCGAGTGGCATTGGTATTTCATATTGAAGTAGCCTACTTACACTTTTGTATTGTGTACTAAGAGGAGCATCTCAGACAGATGGACCTTATTTTTACACAGAGCACAAAAGAGAGCACTATTATCTTTTTCCTTTGCTGCCTCTTACATGTAACTTACTGGAAATCATACCAAAATCACCCAAGCTGAAGAGGACCTTCCTGGAAACAGGGCAAACTACCACCACAGGGGAAGCAGCTAATGGAAGTACTAATTGTTAGCCCTTTACAAAAGGCCATAGACCTCAGCCAAGCAAAAACCCCACATTACACTGTTCTTAAAAGAAAGGCATGGCAAAAAGATCCTCTAAACTAAACTTCAAATGTAAATTTTTTTAAAAATCAGTATTAATTACTAAAATAGTAATCAGTATACCTAACTCTCATTTACAAATTAAAAAGGATGTATGCTTGCTTTCTTTTTTTTAATTGGATACACTGCAACATATAGTCAATATTAAGAAATATTCTGCTGCTGAATATGGTTTTTGTTTTATTCAATAGCCCATTTTATCCTGTTCATCATCACACCACCATGAGAAAGCTGGAAGCAAGTAGCATTGCATTACCATTGCAAAGTGAAACATTCAAGTCTCTAGAAGGCATTTCTGGTTTTATAAATTTCATATTGGAAACTGCAATCCCAAGTCTCTAGTAACTAAATTCCTCTGCCAACATCAGTTGTGCACATTGTCAACACCAAATCAATTCTACAAATTGATCTGTATAGGTTTTGATGATTAGATATAGGTGCACGCATCTACAATAAACCCTCAGTCACCTGCTTAGGGCACCTTTATAGGGAAGAAAGGACAATCAAACTAACTACTTCTTTTTGCAGAGGTTTTGTAACTTGTGTCCCTAATCACTATTAAGTTACAATGGTGGGAAAAGGGAAAAAGTAGAGCACAGTTTGTCAACAGTAAGGAATTGTAGATGTATGCCAGTCCTTCACAAAATAACTATGAAAAATACAATAATACTCCTTTAAAAACACTTTTATATTGTTACATTGCACCTCAGAAAGACAATGGCAAGTCACAACAACTGGAAAAAAAACAGTGAAAATGTAACTACATTCTATAATTACACCAATATTTACAGGGCACACCACAGAGCTATTTTCGGGTTCTTAAATCTTCCCTTCAGATCTAACAAAGGAGCATCTCAATCACAGCCACTCCCCGGTAAACTCCTATCGAAAGTGTATCAACAAGAATCAAATAGAATTGCATGCTCTGACAAGGCCTTTAGTATATCCCCTATCCTCCTGAGGGGTACTAATATAACAGGGCAATTACAGGAAAGCAAGTTTAGATTACTAGACTGCTCTGGTGAAACTGCCATTGAAGAAATGTGAATAATTTCTACTCATTTTGTGCTGCTGTATAGCCATAATCAGGAAATAATCCCAGATTTTAGTTTTACCAACTAAAACCTATCATTTAATGTATCTGCAAATTTTTTTGAATTAGTATATTTGTCTTCTAGTGTTAGCTGCACAAAAAAGGATATACAAAACTAAAAACATTAATCAAAAGCAAATCTGAAAGAGCTTAGAGGTTCAGCTGAAACTAACCTGGCAATCTGTAATCTATTGCTTTTAAGTTATCCATCTGAACATTTTGTTTACAAAATTAGATGGGTTAGATACAAAATACTTATTCTGAAACTTTCCTGGAACTTGACATTCTGTTTATTATTACGGCATCTGTCAGAGGCATTCTTCCAGATCACGTATTCAGTACGTCAATTAGAAGACAAAGTTTGTCCCAAGGAACTTGAGACAACTTAAAATTCTGTAAGAACAGACTCTTACAAACACTAAGTTGGTATTTGTTTATCTAGTCACACATTTCCATAAAGAGTAGTCAGTTCACATTTTATCTGATCAGTTTTGTTTGTTAGAAAACAAAGTTATCTGCTTGTTAGGTATGGCATTTTCTGTGTTTGGGAGAAATTAAAATTAAGGCTTTTTGTTAACTTTGCCCTGTAAACTACACACAGGTATGCAACTACTATTGTTACAATAGGAAGGGGCACGTGCAGTAATAAAACCGAAATACTTGGAGAAGTTTCCGTTTCAAAAAAATGCAGTGTCCTTGACATAGTGACACTACCACAACATCGCTGAATAGGTCATAATTCAGGCCTTTTAGCCAAATTAAGGCTGGCTTCATGTGCACAGGATAAAGAATGTAACACAACTTTTCTGCAGCACCTACGTACAATATCCCAGGCATAACATAATACCAGTGTCTTGGTTCTGCTAGTCACAGCTTCTTTCCTCCCAAAATGTTGCCTATGTAGAAACACAGTGAGTTTGGGCAGTTGCTCTGTGAAGATTACTCATACCTATTCAGTAATCCCAAATAAGACTCCACTGCGCTTGCAAAAATCAGCTTGATAAAATCCCTGCACTATATAAAGTCCAATGAATTCATTCTGAAAATCACTGCCTAAAAGGTTTCCCCCAATCTTCAGAAAGTTTTGATTTGTATCTTGATTCACGTTAAGCCATGCAAGTCAGTGTCAGGGGTGAAAACTGAATTTTTTTCTTCAGTGCAAAGCTTTAAGAAATATCTGTTCAGCCCAGCCTTAGATTTTGAACACTGGCTCTGACTCTCCTGGAGCCCTGTACCCTGTGCCACTAGAGTTGTACATCACACACACACACACCCCCCGCTGCTATTTGAGTTTGGCTGCATGTAATGATGAGTTTAGGAGACTTCAACCAACTTCATAAGAGAGAAGCCTTGAGTCATTAGGTGTAGTGTCTTTAAAAACGCCTAGTAACCAAACCAGCAAACTGTACAGTGTTAGAATCACAGAAGCATTCAGGTTGGAAAGGACCTTTAAGATCATCGAGTCTAACCGTAAACCTAGCATGGCCAAGTCCACCACTAAACCATGTCCATAAATGCAATAATCTACACATTTTAAATACCCCCAGGAGTTGTGACTCCACTGCTTCCCTGGGCAGCCTGTTCCAATGCTTGACAACCCCTTTTGGTGAAGAAATTTTTCCTAATATCCAGTCTAAACCTCCCCTGGCACAACTTGAGGCCATTTGCTCTCATCCTATCACTCTTTATTTGGGAGAAGAGACCGACCCCCACCTGCTACACCCTCCTTTCAGGTCCTTGTAGAGAGCGATCAGGTCTCCCCTCAGCCTCCTCTTCTCCAGGCTAAACATCCTCAGTTCCCTCAGCCACTACTCGCAGGACTTGTGCTCCAGACTCTTCACCAGCTTTGTCATTCTTCTTTGGATGTGAAATGCCATGGATTATTAATTCAACATGGTTTACAACAGAGGAAAACACTTACCTGAGGGTAAGGGTCAACTGTTGCTCCTTTGACTTTACCAAGTCTCCTACTCGAAAAGTTGTACAGCCCAGGAAGCTTCGCTACAAAACAAAGCAGAAAGAAAAGATAACATCTCCATTAATTTTTGAAGTTTTAATTGTTACTTTTTTTGGTCTCACACTTGGAAATCTTTCTTCTATACCTAGAAAACTATTACATTCCAATATACTAGTTTGACATACTATCCACTAGAAATTTTTTATGAGCCTGTAGCACGATTATCAGTAAATTGTTAAACTCTGGTTTTATGGGCAGGAACCTCTCTCTTTTTCATTAAGAGCAACCTGGCAAAATAACAGGTTGTAAAATGTACAGCGACAGGAAAATTTTCATTCAGAAGAAGCATTTGCATTTTGCATCTTCTTCTTTCTATATTTCTAATTTCTAGATTACAACAAACTCTAAGTCTTCAGTGTTTTACCAGTTGTTCTTGCTATGTTTTTTCAAGCCTTAGGCACTACCATCTATGTATTCCAAATATGAATGTATTTGCTAAAAACGTATTTTTACATTGAGTTCAGTGTAAGTTTATTATTACAAATGTTATATTCCTCTAGTTTATGGCAGTCTTTGTAAGTGCTTGTTTCCTTTATTTCCATTGTAAGGTGGACCTATTCATTGCATGACAAGTGCAGAGAAATGTACTAGAATGTCTAAAGTTAAATTAAGCTACACCACTGTCTTTTCCTTTTATCAAAATCACCTTCACATATCATCAAAAAAACAGTGCACACAGGAAAACAAATACATCTTCTTTTGCATCTTGGTTATTTTTTTAACCTTTACTCATATCCCACTGCACATTGCTAAAATCTCATTTAGTCAACTTGGCCAACAGTAGTATTCTTGCCCTGGGAACAATGAGGAAGAAAATAACAGCCTACAGCCATTTTCTATCCATTTAACTTTCAAATATACAACTCAAAAACACTTGCTCTGAATAAATTATAACAAGATCATAAGATTGTGTTGAATTTGTGCAAGAAAACAGTAAAAAGTACACAAAGTTTGTTTTTATTACATTATATTAATTTTACTCTACTGTTGGAACAGCAAAGTAAAATTCCAGGCTAAATTATATATATTCTTGGGTGTAGAAATTAAAAAAGAATCAAGTTGCTCTGAGTCAACACAGGCTGCATACAGAGAGCAACTTTCCCATTCAGGGAAAAAGAGAAGAGAATTTGTTTCTACTGAGAAGCATAACTTCCTCTGGTTTAAAAAACAAACAAACAAAAACCAACACACCACACCACACAACCACCAAACCTGCAACCTGCCTTCTTTCAGGAAGGCCAGCTGGATATTGAGTGGTTGAATGCCAACAATAAAGCTCTATGCTAAGATAGGTTTTCCTGCATATAAAACGTACAGTTCACATCACAATTCTCAGTTTAGGTACACACCAACATTTGGTCTCAATTTGGTAAACTAAATCATCAGTTATGGCTCATTCCTAGCAATGACACAGGCTTAGATTTCCTGTGCTTTGCTTGGCACTTAAGCAGCAAAGGAAAAAAGACGTAAGCTGATAGTCTAGGGAGGCTGGGAAACCAGCAGATTTGGGAAGTGCTGAAGAGGAAGGAAGGAAGGAAAAAGACCTGTAGGAAATATATAGAGAAAAATACCACAGGTGCACACGCAAAGATCATGGTTAGTTTTCACTGCCAAAATGAAACATATACTTTTACATGAAATACATCCAGGTGTGACACATGGTGATGCACAGCCTTGCTAGAGTGAAAACACAGTTCGTTCTGTCTTCCTTTAGATCAGTCAACACGACAGGGTTTCTTCACTAAAATTCTATGGTGGCATGGTTAGCTCAGATTAGTTGTCTTCTTACAAAAGCGTATCCTTTTTAGTACAAGGAGAACACATTCCACAGCACGACGTCTATATAGCAGCCTTTATTCTGGCGTTTTGTGGCATTTGAGTGCTTGCATTTGCAACCTTACCATTTGGAAAGAGGGAGAGGGATATTTGGAATGAAACTGATACATGTTGGGTCACTTGGGGCTTCTTTCTACAGCACGCTAGAACTATAAATCTGTTTAAGAACCCTAAGTTGGAGTCCTCATACGATCAGGGCTAAGAAGCAATTACACTGCTCTCTTAGACAATCTAGGAGCTTTGGTCATTATACCCACTAACTACCTCTAAGTATCATATCTAGTTCTTTAGGGCCATGAAATTTAAGGTGAATAATTTTATGGGCTTCAAAAATTCTACCTATTCATCTGTTTTATATTTTGATACGTATTTAGAATAAAATTTTCTTTGCCTGACAATGCAATTAGGAATTGTTTGCAAAATTAAATAAAATTGTGAATGATCCCATGACCCAAATGAAGAGAGTTATGCTAATATTCAAGGGGTCTAATTTCAAACAATGCTGGAGAATACTTTTTCCATGCTGATTTAGATACAAATAGTCTACACCCCGGGGCCTGAACTGGCAGTCTACAAACCAATCTAATTTTGTACATGTGACTTGGAGAGGCTTGAAAAGTAGGCTTTAAAGAGAACTGCTGCTGTATTGCTAATTATAGAGTAATGCTCCTCTGTAATTTTGCTAGTGGGGTACTTAACAATTATAAATCTTAAGATATGTGCCTTGAGTAGTTTGATGAATAATCTCAGCTAGCCAGAGAGAAAAGTCTCTATAATAGCTATATAAAAAGTTGAAACATATCAATTATTTCGCTAAGACTGAACTTGCTGCCAAGCTGCAGATTTTTCAAACACTAGCTAAAGTACTGGAAACTATGCCAAGGAAGCCCTGGTAATGCAGGAAAGTCAACACCTTAGGCTAAAGATTTGAAAATCCAATTTTATTAAATATTTGCAGACATAGGTCTGATACCTGCACCAGATGGCGTTTAGTCTTTTATTCAGCTCTAGAGAACCAACGTTTCCCAGTCCCATGAGGTTTCCATATCATCTGGGAGGTTCTCACCTTCTCAGACCCAGAAATGATATCCCAATACCTTTGCCTAAAGTTCTACAGACCTACACAGAAAAATAAGTCCTCTATATGTCACCAGTGCAATTTCTTCAAGTGAACCCAAAGACAAATCCTACAGCAGAACTTTTTTATACTCTGCACATGAAAATCAGAAGGCACCATGCCAGGCTCATTGAGGCAATGCAATACTAAGCTCTCAATCTCATCCAGATTGCTTGTATTGCAGAAGGAGGAAGACTAGATAGTTGTGCTTACCTCAGGATAATTTCAGTTTAAAAGGATTTTCAAGAAATATGTGAATGGGATTATATCAATCACTGAGGCAATTACTCCTGCCTTGATTTTTTTAATTCAGTGAATGCAACTTCTGCTATTAAAAAAGCTTGCCAGCTCCTGTTTAGCAGCTAGGCAGAACACCATTTCTCTTCATTGGGTGTCTGTGTCTGCTGATGAGGTGAGAAAAAAAATAAACGATTAATGTAAAAAAAAAAAATTGCTTACTCCAACATCTCCTCTTGGCTCCTTGTGATCAGGTAGGACACTGGTGCGGACCTGAGAGAGAAAGAAAAAAAAAAGGCAAACAAAATATTACTTTTTTGATGTTACTTTCCAGTAAGAACAAGGTAAGTGCTCATGTAGGTTTTTTTCTCATACCTTCTACATTTTGGAGATAAATTTAAAGGGAGGTACATATGTATATCTCATTTCATTACAATTAATTAGTAATTTAAGCAGAATATCTTCTGGTTCCTGTGGGGGAGGTCTCTCACCACTACCCATTTATCATTCTGAACTTTCCTGATTCTCTAAAGGGAGAAAAGCTGTGCTTAGTTGTTCCTTGCCGAAAAATCAGACTCTCTGGCTCTAACTTGAATGCCAGAATTCTTCATCTAGAATTGTTATCTGGAACCAAAATTTTCAACCACAAATGAAAAAACACAGTACATCAAAAAGTATTTTCTCCAAATAAATATTTACCTTTGCAGCACGCTGATCTGCAGCAGACATCCTGATCCCCAGTCTCCCACAATGTGTGGCCCTGTCTGCTGCTATCACTTCCTGAGCATCTTTGAGGTGACGGACACTTGTAGGCATTCATAGAGAGAAAGTCCCTATATTGTCCCCTACACCGGACCTCCAGTCGTCCCTGCGTTTTCTGCAGGGTGGAGCTGCTGCTGTACACCACTAATTTCATTTCACAAGAAAAAGTATGGGACAACCTGACTTCCTCTTACTTTGCTATTTCCCAAAATACAGTATAGGGTGGGTTTAGCATCTATATAATTTCACTGTTGAATGTTGAGAACAGAGAATTGATTAAACAGTAAAAATGAGATATAAGAAGTATAAGAAAACCTTTGTAACATCCCTCTAACATGGTCTGCCTGAGTCAAACAGCCCACTGGATTAGCTTGCTGGTAAAAGGATGCCAGCTTCAGCAACACACAAGGGAGACATGTACTGAGCACTCACATCTGTTCGATTACCTAGCTTAAATAACAAATATCCATTTACAGCATGGCCCCCCAAGGACAATTTTTTGGCTTGATTTCAACATAAAACTCAAACTCAATTTGCAAATCTGTCAGCAAAAGACTCATTTTGTCCCGTGCCCTCAAATATGTCCCTCAATTCTTTTATTCGAGCTGCAATTTACTATACAAAAAGAAAACCCTCCTTTAAAACAAAGATAATTTTACTTGTCTGTTCATTATCCTAAATACAACATGTTGTTAGAAAGGGCCAACCAAAAATCTACAGAGACATGACAAAATAGAACCATAGCTTTCCTCAGCCCTTGTCCCTTGATTCTCTACAGTGAGAACAATTTTTTTCCACCAAAGCCTGAAGATAGTAAAGAAATGCTATAATTAATTTAATGAGGGCCAGTGTACTTTAGAAATCTGTGGGAGTTCTCATTCAGATGTAATTTGACATTTAGATTTTTTTTTCCCACTAATATAGCATTAGCAATTCCAAGGCATTTGGCTTTCTACAGAACACTAGTACAAAATTTTCAACACAAAATTCGTGTCTGAAATTTACCTGTAAATACTTTGGAGTCACAAATGAAAATAAAATGACTGACACTTCCTTGTTGGTGCCCCCTTTTGGGGGCTGGGGAAATTGGGGAAATAACTTACAGCAGATCTGTTTCTTAAAAGAAAGAAGAGGTATCAATGCCATGCCAAAAATTCTATGTCATTTTAAGATACTAAAAAGCTGTTCTATATGCTACCCTCAAACAGGTAACATCTGGCCAACAGGAAAGTGAGGTATTTCCATTTTCTAATTATTATGGATGTTTATTCAAGAAATACAAACAAATAATTTCAGAATGAACCTTCCTCTTCATCACTGATTTATAGGAAGATGCATTTGTAACCCAGAAGCAGTTCAGCAAGTATTTTAAAACATGTCTAATTGTTTTTGCATGATACTAAGATGTGCTTCAAAGCAAGAGGAAGCCCAAGTATCTTTTATGCTTTTTGAAATCAACAAAATCAAACATACACTTAGAATTATAGAATATTGATTCCTTCTTTTGCTGGATAAAGTCTCAGCTCAGGAGAACTTAGGTCTGTCTTTGTGTTCAAGCAGAGAAGTGGAAAGTGATGTCAACACCTGACAAACCTACAGTATAAGCCTTCCACGTAACAAAACCACATTTTGTAATTCTAAATGGAGTTAAATAAGGAAAAAAAAAAATTGTTGCTTGTTTGCAGTTCCAATCTCAATTTCATTAGTGTCACAATGAAAGGAGTAGAAAAAGTACCCACAAACTTCAGTTTTCAGTTCTAAAATACTTTTTGGTTCAGCTACATGATTTTTTGTTTGTTGGTTTGTATTTGGTTTTAACCCCTTTATAACCAGTAGTCATACAGCCAAACGTACATAAATACTGCGTTTGGTGGGACCGGCATTAGGCTGTGCTGCTCTTCTCTCTAAAATACATTTCTTTTAAAAGGAAACTGGATTTTTTGATCCAAGTGTGTGCAAAAAAATATTTTTTTTTTGAGAAACAGTTTTAAAATATTCATCAAAAAAAGAAGTCATACATGTGTACGTAAATACATATGTGGGAGTTATAGTCTGGGTCATGTTGTCTATTGGTTGAGCTCCCAAACACACTTAAACTCTCAGAATACTGCAACTATCAGAGTCCCATTATGGGACATCCACATAGGCCCAGGCAAGCATCATTACAAACACAAAGGCAGACAGTTTGCAACCAAACATAAGAAACAACTCAGCTCTAGTCCCAATCAACAAAAATCAAAGAGAGCAAAAAAAAAAAAAAAATAGAGAAATACAAAGGATTTGAAAGAGCAAATATTCTCCCAGAACATTACCTGATTAAACAAACTGCCATACTTTTTAAAACCTTGCCATAAACCAACTTTTTCCTAATGGTCCCAACAGCATTCTAAAACAACTACAAAATATGAACAAAAAGGCAGATTTTAAATCTCAAGCATCCCTTACTCTCTTCGAATTTCAGTTTTCTCATTATTTGCTCTAGGTTTTCCTGAGCAAAATGCAAACTTCTGAACAGTGACTTTATTCAGAGTCGGGGGAAGATTGAACTTCCCTGGAATAACACACATTACAGCCTTACCTGCCCAGATAAGAGATATACGAAGAGATCAAGTATGCAAGAAAGACAGCTTATCGCCTAGGTCAAATGCAAAATGTTTATGACGAGTATTCATTCCAGTGATTTCGTTTGCAAAACAATACAGGTATGTTGTATACACCACAGCTTGTCGTACCAGGAAGAACACTAGTGCATTAGAGGGGATACTCATGTTACATTGTGTTTTCTTTAAATCCCATATAGAACAATACGCGATGAGTAGCTATCCTTACGCTTTCTAGTGCATTTACCACAGACGTATCTAAGTGTCAAATTTCTCCAGGCATAAATGCTAAATTCAGCTTTGATTAACCGTCCTTTAGTACAAGGCAGCTTTATATGATTAAAAAGAACATTTCTTTCAGTCATTCATGGCAGTCTAAGCCACATTCACGGCAGTCTAAGCCACATTCACACCCACTGTCAAAGTTCAGAAGACTGAGTCATTATCATCACTGAAACTTTTGTGCTGGCCCTTAATTAAAGCCTTTGCATTTCAGTTTATGATGAAAGGCCATGTTCAAAAGGCACTTAAGTTTACAAAGAAATAATGTTCAATCCTTTTCTCAGTTACTCTAGATTTACCTCGTCAAATCATCAGTGGCTTCCAATGACTTCCAGTACTTATTGCTGTTGGGCCCTCAAATGCACTGTTCTGTCACCACCGTTACACACCCCGGCAGCTCACAATAACCAGGTACACACCACATCAGGCAAAGCCCAGGATAAGAGAGACTACTGAAAGCAGTCGCCAAAAAAATTGACTTGCACCCTTTCAACCCAGCACCTTCCAGGAAGGCATTCACAATTTCACTCCTTCAGTATAACTCTGGCAGCGATATAACAACACAACACGTGCAGACAATTTTCCCGTTACGTTACCCGGAGGTGCTGTGGGACAGTGACCATGTGCACCTTTCTTTCCCCCACAGGTCCTTTTTTGCACGGAAAGCAAGCACTGAACTCGGCTAACACAACCAGCACAACCCCACGGAGAGCTGCTCGGGACAGTCAGTCCCCGTCCTCACCACCACCACCGCCTGCCTGCCAGCCCCGCCGCACCACCCACAGCCGGGCAGTCACTCTGTTTCCTGTCACTTGTCAGTCACACAAGTTGTAGCTCCACATATATGTACTGGATGAGCTGAAAATGTTGAAATTGTTACTACGTTCTGCAATGATATCGATCAGCTTTTATAGGATAGATCCCAGTCCAGTACATACAGCAAATTAATTTTTAAAAGAAGATATTGATGGGATACTGTACATTTACCAGCTATTTATTTTCATCATATAGATTAACAATTTGCTAAATAGTTCAATCAACATAGCATAGTCAGCAAAGTAAAACACTTCCATCAATACTTTGTTGGATACCTGCTTATTGGATGGAGGACAATGCCAATACAGCCATTTTCCAACCTTTAGTACGTAATTATTTCTAAGAGTCCATATAAAGCAAAAAAGAACATCTTTTCCCAATAGGCATGCATCTAGTATTGCAGGGTTTACAGTTTCAATGGAAAAGTTGCTATGCAGAGACATCGACAAATGGTAAATTAAAGACGAAAACAAGTAAAGGGAACATAAGCTAGATCAACTTTACTGCAACACTTTCACAGTGGTATAACAGATATATTATGTTGATTCTATATTAATAAAATACAAAATAAAAAATGGAAAATATTTTTTATATATTTCCCTACTATCTATAGTAGAGAAAGTGGGTTTCTGTACGTATGCCCTTATTATTTGCTGTATACCGAGTGACAGTTTCAGCTCTGTATTTATCTGAAAGGGTCAAAGAGAAGGGCAGGCATATCTGCATACGGTTGGATACTTTTTATAGGCAGTGATCGATCGTGGCTCTCTTGCAGAGTGTGGAGTCAGAATCACTCATTCGTGCAGCACTGAG